TTATTTGTCTTGTTAGTCTGAAAATTTGACTCAAATTAAGTCAAACATTTCTGCCAATGGAGTAAGAAAGTTTTACTTGGTAAGATTCTTGAAAAACTTGATTTGACTCATTTTTCTTTCTTTTGTCAAGAATCTTACCAAGTAAAACTTTCTGACTCCATTGGCAGATTTTTTTTTACTTAATTTGAGTCAAATTTTCAGYCTAACAAGACAAATAATCTTACACAGTCTGAAAACAAGATTATTATTCTTACACAATCAGTTCTTGTTTAGTAAATCAGTCTCAAAACAAGATCAAAAAGACTTTTTGGCTGGATATAAGGTTTTAAAACTTGGTAAGATGGACAGTTTTTGCAGTCATTTTAGCCTAACAACAGCAGGAGGGTCAAAACAAATCTAATTACAAAAATATATTTCGCACACACTTAGGTTGCAGTCAGATTGGCATTAAATGGTTGTGACAGAAACAATCTGGCTTACCATTATTTAAAAAAATAATAATGTCACAGAGTTGAAGAAACACAAGAAGTCACATTAACTTTTTTTTAATGGGGTCACTTTCTCGAAATTACTTACAAAAATTACTGAGCTCATAAACCAAACTGTTTAACAACTAAAATAAAGTCAATTTGTCATTGAGGCAGGGCAGCTGTGACTGCAAATGTGATGGGTGAACGTTCAGGCCAGGTACCAAAGACATGATGTTTCTGACTGTTTTCTACATAATAAATCTTCACAAGAGGTCATTGAACGCAGCATGAAGATATCTCTGGCCACCGGACATCACCATYTCCGCTTTACAACATTCCATCCGGTATAGAAATCACTAAAAGCACCAAAWAAGCTTCACCCAAAGTGTTTTAAACCGCCTACACGCTGTCTTCTTGAACTCATTTCCCGTCCGGTTTTACTGTGGCTCCAGTGGCGCAATCGGTTAGCGCGCGGTACTTATATGACAGTATGCAGCTGAGCAATGCCGAGGTTGTGAGTTCGAGCCTCACCTGGAGCATATCTTTTTAACGTAGAGTTTACAGTTTTGAAGTTTGAATTRATCCGTTTTGCCCAACACCGTTAAAAACATCGCCTATTTATACAATTACTTTGTTTACCGCAGAGTGACAGCGAATAAAATGTTACTTCCTGGACGTATTTCTGATCGTCCACTCTGTCTTTGGCTGAGTTGTTTAGTAGCGCCCTCTAGTGTTTATCACCAGGAACTACGACCAGGAGTGAGTTCAGCTGCTCACCACTAGATGGCGGAATCACTGCCTCCTGCTRGTTCTACCTTTTAACAACTTTTTAAAAACTTAAACATATTGCTCAAGCTCGTTGTTTAAAACTATGACAGTAATAGTTTGCYTCAACTCTGTTTGTTTGTTGGCAAAATAGCTTGTGAACCACGGGGTTCAGAAAGGAAATGCCCACCTACAACTGATGGACTCACCCAAATTTGAGATGGCCAACARTGTCCAACACAAAAATGKCTATAACCCAGTCAAATGTACAGCTATTGAGCTGAATGTTAACARGGTAGTAGCTGAGAGTGATTCTCAAACAACTATACCTCTTTTTTCTGCAAGACGGTCTCAGTTTAAACTTTGACAAGAAAGGTGGTGGGCTYTACGTATTTGCGATTAGTCTTTTTTAAGATGTCATCTGATTTCACTGCACACAGCTGTCAGTGCTGAACGCACACATTTTTGTGTGTTTGTGTGCATTTCTGTCACTCTAAGCCCAGCAAAGCTGAGAATGAACAAGCACAAGATTGCAGTAATGACGTGACCCAGTTGTTGTCCTGGGCTCACAGATCCTGAAAATGAGAGTGAAGATCAGGACCTCATTCCCCCCCTCCACCACCACCACACACACACACACACATACACACACACCCCTCGAGACACAATCACAGAGCATTAGCAGCATGTTGTAGTGTGTGTTCATGTTTAAGCTCACCCAGACTCATGTAAGCAGCACACACACACAGGATCATATACTTGCAGTGTGTCACTTGTGAATGGTGCTCTGGATTAGATGAAACTTTTTTTTTCTTTAGTTTGTCCTCCTCAAGACCCCCCCACCCCCCATCCCCATCCCCGAGGTCACCAGGTGACTGAACAATCGCACAACTGTAGGCCACTCTACTCAGCGAGGAGCTTGGTAATTGAAGCAGCGTGAGCATCCGTGTGGAAATATGTTTGGGATGGAGGGGGGAAAGAGTGGGGGGACAAAAGACGGAGAGTTTAATATTTGGGACAAGCTGTGATTGAACATCCTGAGATCAGAGCAGAATGTCCAGATTCTGCCAGTGATAATCCCTAATCTTGGAAAATTAAATACCACTCTCTTTCGTACACACACACACACACACACGCACGCACGCACGCACACACCAGCGAAGTCTTTATCTAACATGTGTCTCATAACCCCGAGTGGTTCCTCAGGGAGCTGTTCTGATATCTGATGAGTTTTTCATTAATAAGACACAAGTCTAATCCTGAGGGAGGAACACAAAATGACAACGGATAAGCCCTGCTTTGGCCACACAGACACACACACACACAAACACACACACACACACACTGATTGACTGTGGCACTATTACAAAACATCTTTATACATGCACTTATATTATAGTTTAATCTCACCAACCCAGTTTTATTTACCCCAGCCTAGATTTTATTTTATCTTTTTGCACATCCTTGTTGTTCAAACTAATGAAACATACATTCAACTTTATAGAATGAGCTGTTGTGTTGGGGGAAAGGCACGGATTAGTTTTCTTTACAGCTCTGGTATGATATCTAAACTTACACTTATGTGATTTTTTTCTTTTAAAACTCACATTAAAACTGTTACCAGCAGGAATATTTTCTTCCTGCTGCACAAAACTATCGAAATMACTAATGATTAACATGCTTGTGACAACATGAGGATGCAACACAKTCTGTTGGCTTCTTTATAAACATAACTTTTATRAGTTGGCATAATGGATCTGCTTTTTTTTTTCCAGAGCTATATGCATTTTACAAATTCATAAACATATTTTAATACATTTTCAATTTGTTAGCACAAATATAAAAAAATTCATATTAATATAGCTAATGTAAACTAAACCGTGTATCAGCACGTCTTCAGTGGGTGGTGCACTGCTGGTCTGGGGGACCCTAAACAGTTGCTTGAGCTGCTTGTGTCTCTGACAGGCTATTACTCCCAAAYGTACCCTGTGACTACCTCCTTGTATGTACCCTTGCAAATACCCTGCATYTGCCCCCATAAGTACTCTGGAATTACCCTTCAAGTATCCTGTATGTACCCTTGTAAGTATTCTGTTATTACCCTGCAAGTAACCCAATAAGTACACCCGTATGTAGTATAGTACCCAGTAAGTACCTCAATGTCCCTTTTTTATATTCTCCTGTAAGACTATGAGTCTGCATCATAAAAGCCTTAAAAAAMAGTATAATCAAATTAGTTTTAAAATGTTTCATCACAATTTGCTGAATATCTTTATGCTGGAATTATTATATTTTTGCTTTGTGAAGATGCATATATAATAAAATAGAATAGAATAGAATAGAATAGGATAGGATAGAATAGAAAAGTCTTTATTACTATTACATAAGCCTGAGATATGAAATATGAATATATGATCAAGAAATTTTGGTATAGGACTATATTTTTATGATAATTATAAATATGATMATCAATTTCCTGATAAAGCATGCCATTTTGTTTTGTACATGTTAATAAAAGCAAATGTAATGTGTTTTTTTTTTATCCTAAAATCCCATTATCATCATATGTTTATTAGTAGCAGGTAAGTGTATTGTAAAGTCATCTTCTTTTGCTGGTGACTCCCAGTAGGAACCTCTTCAACCGTGCATGCTTTGCAATGCAGCGCTTGTTATTTACTTCAGCAAATCTGAGATTCTCTGTTACAGTTATTAAACATTGAAAAAAATCATATTTTGTTTTGGAAAGTGACTCTGCTTGTTAGCTATATTGTTTCAGTTCCGTCCATCTGGATGGGGTCAATCGACTTCGACCTCGGCGTTGAACGTTACTATTTAAAGACTATCTCCGCCCATGCAAGAACACCGGCGTACGCCAGTAATACCTACGAGCGCGCTCTGCATTTCCAGTACACAGTAGAATTTTGTAATGGACCAATGGAAATGCGTAATGAACAGGGGCAGAGCTAATTGACGTGAAATTCAGCCAATTAAGAGATGTTTTGCCCAGACGTTTTATCCAATCACTGCGCAGATGCCAAAAATATCACCTCCTCTTGTTCAGCACCCAAAGTCGAAGGATAGCTCTGTGGCCTTTCAATGGACTAAAGTGCTAGATTTATCAGTGTTGTATAATAGTATAACCAATTCTCAGGCTACACATATTTGTTTAGGAACGATCGCAATTGTCTTCACTTACTGTGAGAGACAGAAACTGGCGTCCAACATGCGTAAAAATCAACGCTGTCCAAGCAGGGAACCACCGAGAAACGAATTATCGCCGCTCTACTGAGGCCAATCTCGATTATTTTTTCTTAAATAAGGAAACATACCACAGCTAACTGGCTAACATTACCTCTGCAGGTAGCTTGGTTAACGACATATCTTCACGAAAAATCGGAGACGGGATATCAAGATTGGATCTACAGTCGCACAGCAGCAGGAAAACGTAAGTAGCATGCTAGTATGCGAGCTAACGTCATTAGCTCGAGTTTGACAAGCCATAGAGCTGCAAGTTAACAATAGCATACCAGCTAACCTTAGCTCACATTAACACGTAAGCCAAACTAAGAGGCCTTTGCARAGGGGATCCTGTGTGTGAAGTGGAGGCTTTTTTTGTACGTGTCTGATTTAAAAAAATAATCGTATTTCGAGATTATAATAACTTCGCATATGCTAAGTGAACAACTCGCGACGCTTCGTATAAAAAAAAAACCCTGACCAAACGTTTGAATTTCAGCCACTTGGTTACCATTAGCATACCATTTACAGTAAAATCAATTTGATKTGATACTAATGTAAACAGTCTAACGGGAGGTTGGTTTTAAGTGTTTAGTGTGGTCCCAGGTGAGCTACTTTAGCATGGTAATGTTGAATCTGCTCTAGCTACAACAAGCTAATAACAACTTAGAGGCCGCTGCTTTTATTCTGATACAAAACATGAGGAGTTAATAAAGAAGCACCACACCAATGACAAGGCAGTAGTCAGAATATACTGTTTTACATGAGATAAAAATAGTGTTAACATTCACGCTCATTTCACTAATATGTTGATTAAAAGTGATCCACTAATTTATGCTTTGAATAAAATGTTTATCATGAATGATAGTAATATTTTACAGACATTTTACTGTTTTTGTGTCTTTTCAAATGATAAACAATGCATTTAAAGTAGCCAGTAGTAGCCAAAAATAATTTCCAATGTACTCTTAGTGTTTCAAATTTTGAGACATGGTTGCCCAAAGTGGGGTCCCYAAACATCAAGGTGGGGTTCTGACAAGATTTTCTGAATTAATTACATTTTTGCCTTAGTTGTTACACAGGTGTGAGGTTAGTATGTTTAAAATGGATAAATGTAGTAGAAAAAATATTGTTACTATGTTGACCTGATACAAATGTTTATCATCCAAAAATAGTTGGGGGGCACAGGTCTCTGCTACTGTTATTTTGTGGGTCAAAAGCTGAAAAGTTT